AGGAGGCGTCAGGCTGACCCGCCGGAGAGGGAGAGGAGGCGTCAGGCTGACCCGCCGGAGAGGGAGTGGCCTTTTTTCCCCGGCGGCGGCTCCTATGCCTGGAAGAAGCAGATGGGAGGGAAGGTCCAACAGCTGGAGATGGTGTGGTACAGGATCAGAGGTTATAGACTGCGTGGGAATGTCATGGAGTGATGGTTTGGGCGGTGGAGGTCTATTAAAAATCTGAGAAAAGGCATCCTGTATATTCCACTCTGCTAAAGCAATGTAACCAGTCTTTAGGAAAAAGTCATGAAAGTCAGGAAACTTCTCCAGTTTCTCCTTTACTAACTTAGGTGCATCACCCGCTTCCAAGGTGGGCTGATGACAGGTAGGCTGTCCAATGTGGATATTAAGAGAGAAAGGAAGTTTCTTATTGGGTTTGCCTCTGTGGGGTCCATGTTTTGGTTGGTTCCTTCTGTCACGTCCTGGTTGTGGTTTAAAGGACCCAAATGCAGAGACTGAGGTGAATTCTTGTAGTTTTAATGGTAACACAAACAATAGGGAGCAAAATCCAAAAATCCAGCTTAAATGTTACACAGACCAGAACAATGGAGACATCAGAGGAAAACAAGCACAAGGAGCCAGGGAGAGACGAGGTGAGAAGACAACAGCGACGAGGAACCAGCAACAACAAGGAACCATCAAGGAGTGACTGCAGAGGGAGAGTATATATAGCTGACTGAGACAAAGGCAGGGCTAACGAGCAGATGAGGAGCAGGTGAGAGGAGACAATGAGGGAACCAAGGGGAAAGGAACACACACAAGAGGAAAACAGAAAAACATGAGAACTAACATAAATCTAGAAACTACAACAAAATAGGAATTAAACCAATAAAACTAGGAAACATGGAGCAAAGTAAAGCACAATAGAACCAGAACCATGACACTGCTAGGATAGCCATGTCCTTTCTTTGAAGGAAAAGTCGCTAATATCCAGAATTAAAACGTCTAAAAGTTCTTTAGATCTGAAATGATTCCATCCTGTTCAATAAATGATCAGTGTTTTTAATTCAGAGTAATTTTCATGTGAATGTGCTTTACTGGAGGCATCCATGTTTGTCAAAG